AAGAACAAGTAAATTTATTGACCCTAAATTTAATCTTGGTTTTCCTTACACCACAAGGAATATAGGTACAAAGTTTTAAGACATAAGAATGTTTCTAGAACTTTTACGTTTAAGAAAAAGACAAGGGAGAACAAGAGAAACCCATGTACGAAGTTTTAAGACTCCAGGAGATTTGACCCCAAATTCAGAAAAATTTTGATGTTCACCAAGATGAACCAATATACCAAGCTCCCAAATTCTATTACATTACCTTTAATAAACTATCAAAAGAAGAAGAGCAATTGACTCCAAAAATAGGGTTTCGCCTTACATCAAAAGGAACTATAGCAAAGATGGACAAATAGGCAAACAGGTGAACAAAGATTTCACTAAGGACCTTAACCATACAAATCCACCCCGCACTCCTGATCTTGCATCTTTGGACTTTTACGTATGGTCTAACTGGTAAGCTGGTTTTGTATGTTTTCAATAAAATTGATAGTGTGTAAAATAGTTTAATAATTAAGCTAAGTATACTTTCGACATAATAAATGTCATCATCAGAGCTATCCTAAAATAACGTTAAGTTAAGTAAATTTTTTTATATAAAATACAATGATAGAAAAAACTTACGTCAAATAGGTAATAAATACTTCATAGAAGGACAATTGTGCACAAACGACATATTAAAATTCAAAGATCGGGCTCTGTAGGCCACAGATCTTGGTCTAACCCTTATACATATGTATAATTCACATTTAAAAAGTTTTTATAAAAACATGGTTACCACATACAATAACGACAACAGCTGTCTTTGACTTACATTTTTGAAGTAAAATGAAAATGAAATAGGAAGCTCGGATATACGGAAATAAATCCTAGAGCGACCTCTGTATTTAAATTATTAATTAAAAATTGAAAATGTCTAAAATGACGTCTGAAGGTTATTGATTATTAATTTTAGCTACTGTAGAATTTTAAATTTAAATATTTTAAATTGATTAGTTAACGTGAAGATTTAAATATACATTTATCAAAATTATCAAAAAACAAACCTTTAAAGTTTGACCAAATAGAAGAAAGTAGATGAAAACCAACCAAGGAGAAGTATCATTTGCTAAGTTAAGAGTTCAACAGCTATTCTTGATTATCGATATTATTAATAAAATAAATAATGAAGAAGAAAATATCAAACATTCTCTATGTAGATGAAATCAATGAAAGAAAGTATAAGAAATTCTCTCTTTTTTAAAATCTCTTTTTTAAAAATAAAGGTCAATGCTTGATCAAATGATGGTTAATTTTATACTAAGTGTATTATTAAAGAAACTTCTTAAAGATTGGATCAAACTTACAATTTAGATTAATTTGAGTGTTAACACAATTCTGAGGATTCCTTTTCATTTCTCTACTGATTTCAAGATCTTCTAGTAAATTCATTTTTATATAATTATTATTGGTATACTGTGTAGGATCTTGCTATCTCTATGAGGACTAAAGCCATGCTTTGAAGCATGTATATGATTCCCAAAACTAGATTTATCAATCTTAGATAGATGTTCTTTGATGCGTATATCCAAAGGTCGCATTGTTCTACCCACATAACCCACATACCCCATGAAGCAACAAATTTACTGACATATGCAGAACCGTGCCGGAAATCTAGGCGAATTACATCAAAAAATTATTAAGGTCTTTCAAAACATAACACTCGAAATGTTGTCGAACTTCTGAAGGCGATTATACAATAGATTGGGCTACTGCTTAACTGAACGTAAAAGACTTTTTGAAAATTGCCTGTAAATGTTGTTATCACATCGTTGAAACATTTCCCCAGAGCATCTAAAAAGTAAACTTTCTTTCAGCAACAACGTACAGACAAGACTGCCCATAGTGCTTACGGATCTATCACAGACATGTGGTTACATATTATTCTGTTATATTTTTTTGTCAGTTCGTTGAATTGTCTTAATGCCCTATGGTCAGATAATTTTTTTCCATACCTGTATATTAAGAATGCATTCCTTATCATTTAAATTTATATATTCATAAACTTTATAGGCGTTATAAAAATTTTGGTTTGATGATGATATTAAAGAGTATTAATGGCATGCAAAATATCGACGATGTAATGGACAAAGGGCGTAAAAAAACTGAATTAGTCGTACTGTGAGTCAAGTTTTAACATACAGCTATTATCAGCTGCAGAACTGCAAGATACTGCTAATAATTTTTGGGATTCCGATTATGAAGAATCTCCTAAAGTAGGTGGCATTGAAAGTGACTCTGAAATTAAAGATCATCTTTCGGAAGCAAGTACAGAGAAAGATCAGCAAGTAGTATAGAGTGATAATAAACAAGAATGTGTAGCTACAAGTTCTCAGATTTCAGAGTGTGTAATTTTTAAAACTAAAGATGGAATTATCTGGAAGAGTCAACCACAACCGACAGGACGTATGCGATCCTGCGACATAATAAAAAGCAATGTGCACAAAATAATGTTAGCCCCTGGTCAAAATGTAGATGATCCTATTGATTCCTTTTGTTTATTTGTTTGTAGACGAAAAAATTGGGAACGAAATAGTAAAGTATACAAATAAAGAAGCCAAAAATGTCCTGGGGATAGAGAACTGGAACAATTGCGACTCTCATAGCTATATGCCTTTATTGGACTACTACTAACTGCAGCTCACCAGCAGTGTGCCAACGTCCATAATGTCGATATACTTTGGAGTAAGTTTTATGGACCTACTATATTTAAAGCTACAATGGATTTAAAACGATTCAAAAATTTGCTGATATTTTCGATTTGACGATAAGGACACGAGGTCTGAAGAAAGAAGGAACAACAAATTAGCAGCAATATGCGATGTGTGGTATCAAGTCAACCAAAACTTTCAGAAATACTATTTACCAGGAAAAAAACATAACGGTAGATGAGCAACTTGTTCCATATCGAGGTAAGTGTCCTTTCAAGCAGTATATGTCTTCAAAGTCAGATAAGTATGGCATGGAAATATGGTAAGCCTGTCACTCGAAAACATATTACCCTTTAGGCGAAATACCATATACGGGAAAAAACGGAAATACAGTAGCTAAAGGTCTTGCATCTCATGTTGTAAATCAACTTGTTGAGCCTTATTATAATTCCAAGAGGAATGTAACTTGCGATAACTATTTCACTGATCTTCCTTTTGCACATCAATTACTGACAAATTCACTAACACACTTACAGTGAAAAAAAAAAATAAGAGATTTGTTCCTCGGGAATGTCTACCAAACAGGAACCGTTTAGAGAAATCTTTAATTTTCGAATTCAATCCAAAAGTAGCTCTTACGTTCCGAAAAACCAAAGAAGTGTCCTAGTCCTGTCTACCATGCATCACAATGCTTATTGTGCAGATCATGTTGACAAAAAATCAGATGTGATACTCTATTATTATAGTACAAAATGTGGTCCCGAAACGCTAGACCAAATGGCTAGTAAATAGATGCGCAAAACACGAACTATCTGTTGACCTTATGCATTTTTTATGAATGTTTTAGACGTGACTGGGGTAGCCTCATTTACTTGGACAAATTTACTTCCAAAATGAAATGAAAATGAAAATAAAAAGCGAAGATTGTTTCTTACAATGACAGCAGAATAACTAGTGTTGCTACACAAAGGGGACTACAATGAGAAACAAAAGAGTGTATTAAAAAATGCTTACCCCAACAATACAGGATACAATACAATACAATACAGTAAATGTGCACAACAAAAAAGGACAGTAAACAAAAACAGATTTGTGAAATGTGCAGTAGAAATGTGTGTAATGATCAGTGTCTAATTAAAAAAGTGTGTAAGGATTGCAACAAAGAAAAATAAATGTCTAATCTGTGGCTTTTTTATTGTTATTATTTTTTTTAACCCAATACTTAACAATAATTTAATTTGTCATATCAATTTGTTATTCTACTTGGGAATAAGCTAATCTTGTGGCTTAGTCCCAACTAAAATAGTAAATTGTTATGGCAAAGAATTAATTTGTGAAAGTAAAATAATAATATTCTTCTGACTTATGCGTTTTCTTCATTTTGTATAGATTGTTTTTGTCGGTACTTTATACATGGGCTCCTAATTACCATAATCTTTTCTGAGAAGGGTTTTCACACAATAATGAAAGGCAACAACACTGTAATCTTTTTCAAGGGATGCCTAAACATCAACCTCTCTTTTCAAATAAAATGGCCTGGTAGATTGACAAAAGCTTTTATTTATTTATTAATTAAGTTTTTATTTGGCTTCAAATGTTTATTACTTGTAAATAAATATTTTTTCTACAAAAGTTTTCTTGCATTTCATTATTTTGTGAAAATCCTTCAGGCAGATCTCACCCCCGAGGTAAACCAGTAGCACCTTTTTTTTAATCAAGACAATTTAATTTATTTTTAATAAAAAATAAAAAAAATATTAGAAATACATGGGTAAATATAAATAGTACATTCAAGAAGGGTGGGCCCAACGGACCCGAGTTGCGCGGTTTCGTAAGTAAAATATGTTGATTAAATCAGTGTTAATAGAACAATTATTGTTGAAATAAATAAACCAAGAACTACAATCGTTTTTAACATAAATAAATCTCTAACCATGTGGGAGATACAAATGTTTCCGAAAGATTGAGAATATAAATTATATATGTACGAATCTACAATTTTAGTACTGTTATACGATGTTGAAGCATGAACTTTGACACTACTGAGTAGTGTGGATAATATAACGGGTAATATAACAGAATAGACACAAATCAAAAAGAAAAACATTACGCAAAAAATACAAAAAAAAAACAATAATTTTTTTTCATTAAAATTGCCAGGGATGAAAATTTAACTGATCAGTTTTGTGGCACTCTGAAGATGCACGATGCGTAAATGATTAGAACCATTTTAACAATCTCCAAGCTTTGTCATAATGGTATATTAAAGCCAATACATCAAATATGTTATTCTATTGTTATTAGCAATAAATTGGTACTTACTAAACACACTTTTTTTGAGCGAATATGCCAAACGGCTTGCACTCTACGAACACCATATGAACTACTGTTAACTTCGCCTGTTCACAGCCTCGAACGGATGAAGGCACTTCGAATAGCGGTACCCGGTATCCATTGCTGACACCTGAAAAATATCAGACACGTTACTATACCGTACCATCATCAGTCATCAACCTATCTTTTACCCAGTGCCCAATATTCGATGGAAAAGGTCATGGCGATGACGTGCATTGTTGGAATTCTTTTTTAATAAGGAGCTGGTGGACTAATTACGTTGTGAGAATTTATCATTCTTCGAGAGTAACATTGTTTATGATTTCTTTGTGTTATGGTATAAGTTATACAGGATGATTGATAAGCTTGCTCGGAGGTTCGTTTTAATAAGATATGTTAAACAAATCTATAGTATAAGATACCTGCCTGCAAAATGGATATAGCTGTTCTTCAGTTTTTTTTTATTTAATTTTGTTTATTTCAACTTTTGGTACATAAAATTTTTAGGAAAACACGATATAAATAGTTCAAGAAATGTTATTCTTCTTTTTGTTATTCTATTTTAATTTTTACAAAATTATTAATATCTGTCTTAATGTCTTACATTATATAACGTTAGACTATCAAGTCTCAGTCTCATCATCAGATGGTAATAAACCACCTGATATTTCAATAAATTTGAATTCTGATGATTCAATAAAAGATTTAAGTACATATAATTTCAATAATAATAGGTCCAAATAACTTCTGTCCTACATATGTAATGACCACTTACAAATCACATCTGATAAAATTTAAAAAGCAATATCAGAACTAAAAGATGACAAAGCTTCTGTACCTGACAATGCATATGCTGACCTCATAAAGCTTCTTAACACCGACGGCACTCAACCAACTTTACCAAAGAAAACAAAATCCGTATCCTGCAATGATTTCAAGACCATCAGCTTAATGAGCCACATTTTAAAGTTTTTTCTAAAAATCATACATCAAAAGATATATTATATACTTTGCGAAGAAAAAATCAGCCACACACTGATGGGTGTGGTTTGGTTTACGGAACGCATTGGGTACGAGAGGGGCTCTCTTTAGCATACAAGTGCTATTTCAACGATGTAAAGATGTGAATTGCGATATTTATGTATGCTTCATTAATTACCATAAATCATTCGATACAGTAAAACACGACAAGCTGATGGAGATATTAACAAATATTGGAACAAACACCTGTGATCTATGGATTATTAGCAATCTTCACTGGAATCAAACATCGCTTATCCGTACAGAGGCAGGAGAATCCGATGATAGTAAAATTAAAGATGGTTTCTGACAGGGATATATACTACCACCCTTACTAATTAACATATACTCTGACGAAATCTTTCAAGAAGAAGTAGAGAATGAATTCGAATTAACGGAGAATGTATCAATAACATCAAATACGCGCATTACACGGTGGCCTTCGCTGACAGTTATAAAGCCCTCCAGAAGTTATTGAATAGAATCACAGAAGTGAGTCAGAGGTTTGCACTTTCACTGAACATTAAAAAAAACGAAATGTATGATGATCTCTAACAAGAAACAAATTAGAACAAAGCAAATTAAAAGAATCAGAAGAAAGAATCAGAAATTATTCCCTAGAAATAAAACGTAGGATAAAGAAAGCAAGATCTGGATTTTAAAAAATGGTTAAGATATTCAAATGCCACAATTTATCAGTGCCTATAAATATCAGGTTACTACGATGTTATATCTTTCCTATTCTGTTGTACGGTGTTGAGTCGTGGACTCTCACAGACGCTACCTGCATGAAAATCGAGGCTTTTAAAATGTGGCTTTATCGTCGAATACTGAAGATATTCGATACCAAGCACGTTATTAACCAGGACATTTTATTAGAATGCAAAAAGAAAAAGAGTTGGATTGAGGAAAGATATGGAGTGCTGCAATTAACTCTACAAGAAAAGTAGAAAGAAAACGAAGACCAGGTAAGCAAAGGATTTCCTGTTTGAAACTCTATGTACGTGGTTCAACACAACAGCCACAAATATTTTTAGAGCAGCAGTTTGCAAATTGACAGAGTAAGACTGAGAGATATAATTCATCTTTTGTATAGTAGAGAAGTTTCCCTAAATATTATACAAACTATCGAAAACATCTACCAAAACAACAAAATGGAAGTCAGTATAGATGGACAACTTAGAAAACCTATAGAAATATGAGTCCCATTGAGCCCCATGCTTTTCAATTTGATCATGGATAAAATTATTAAAAGCGTTAACAAAGAAAGAGGATACAGAATGGAAAGCAAAGAAATAAAAATACTATGTTACGCAGACGACACAATATATTGATAGCCCAAGATAGAGATAGTCTACAAAGACTGGTCCACAGATTTAACATAAGAGCAAAAGAATTTAATATGACTATCTCATTTCAGAAAACTAAAACAATAGTAGTCAGCAAAAATTAACCAGATGTAAAATAGAAATTTATGGCATTAGTATTGAACAAGTAATGAAAATAAAATACCTGGGAATTACACTGTCTAACTATTGAGACCTGGGCAAAGAATTGAGAGATCAAGTACAGAAAGCAAAGAGACTGGCAGGATACGTTAATAACACTACATGGCAAAACAGACATATTAAAACTGAGATAAAGTCAAGAATTTATAAAACCAGTGTAAGACCAATAATTACGTATGCCCCAGAAAGAAGACCCGACACAGCCACAACGCAAATGCTACTGGAAACGGCAAAGATAAGAGTACTGTGAAGAATTACAGGAAATACGCTGAGAGATCGAAAGAGAAGTGAAGTGTATAAAGTGTATAAATCAATAGACACAAAATAGACAAAAAGAATGAAGTAACCACAGGAAATCCGTGTCGTATACATAGTTTATTATATTTTTTCTCTTTGTTGCGAGCTATGCCGATACCTCCTCACTTTATTATATCTTAAACAAAGAACTCACTCAGGAAATTTTTGATAAACTAGCACCAAGAATTTTTAGTTAAATAAACATCGAAGAGTGGCAAAATTTAAAGGACACAGCAATTTAGGAAACATTTAAACCAATGCAAAGAATCGCTGACTTTTCTTAAGGTGTCTTCTATATTACTGAAGGTTGGCTATAACTACAGCAAATTGCTCTCTATCTTTAGCTGTTTTTAGGATCGAATGTGTGTCCATGCCTTACATTCTTCAACCAGGAGCATTTTCTTCTTCCTGGACCTCTTCTTCCTTCAACTTTCCCTTCCATTATAAGACGTAGGAAGTTGCATTTTTCTTCTTTGTAAATATTTCCTAGATAACTCGTTTTTCTAGTTTTTACAATATTTAGGAGTTCTCTCTCAGTACTCATTCTTCTTAGCACCTCGTTGTTGGTCACCTGATCTGTCAAAAAGATCTTCAGCATCCTTCGAAAAATCCACATCTCAAAGGCTTCTATACGCCTCATACTTGTAAGTCCGAGAGTCCATGTTTCCACTTTGTATAGCAATATGGAATAAATAAACGTTTTTACAAATTGGTATCGGATATCCAACGATAACGTAGAGTTTAATAGGAATTTTTTCATTCGTTGAAATGCGGACCTACCATATTCTATAAGAGCACGTGGTCAACAATTTTAACCTCGTGGTCAAGATCGTTTGTTATCCAGCAACCAAGATAATGTCGACATTTGGTGCACGTGTAACAGCCATCACTTTTGTTTTATTTGTGTTTATATTTAGTACCAAGCTATCTCCCTCTCTGGCTATGACATTCAAAAGTCGTTGTAAACCCTCAGCACTGTCCGCAATAATAACGGTGTCGTCTGCGTATCTTAAGTTGTTTACGTATTCTCCGTTGATTTTTATTCCTTCTTTTTGATCGCCATTTGATCCCTATATAGTTTTTTTAATAAGTGCTACAGTGTTATGGTCTATACCATGTTGTGTTAGGGTTTCTATGAGTTCTGTGTGTTTTACTCGATCAAACGATTTTTAGTAGTAGATAAAATAGAGAAACACGTCTTTTTGTTGATTTCGGCATTTTTGTAGTAATATCTTGAGACCAAATAATGCCTCTCTCGTACCAAGCCCCATACGAAATTCAAATTGAATGTCGCTCAGGTTTCTTTCGCATTCTCTGTATATTCGTTTATGTACAATTTTAAGTAAAATTTTCAGAACATGGCTCATCAGGCTAATTAATCTGAACTATGAGCATCTATTTGCTTTATTCTTATTGGGTATAGGTATAAGAGTCTTCTGGGAAGATTCCAGTGGTATATATTTTGTTAAATAATATTGTTAACGTCTGAAGATTTTCTTCATTGATAAGCTTTATCATCTATATGTATATTTCATCTGGACCTGAGACTTTTCGTGGCTTTGCCGTATTGATTGTTTTTATAACTTCCGATGTTAATATATCAAGTATTGTTTCTTGTACTATATTCATTTGTGGTTCTGTTCTATCGTCATCAAACAGATCTTTGACGTATTTTCACCACACATCTCCTACATTTTCTGGACTAGATACTCTTTGGTTGTTATCATCTAATAAAGTTGTTGCAGTGATTTTTTCTTCATATTTATGACTTATTTAACCTTTTTGTATACATTAAAGTAGTCGTGCTTTTTTAGTAAATCTCCCAGTTCCTCACAGTTGCTGCTCATCCATTCTTCTTTGGCTTTCTGATTTTATTTTGGATGATTCGCTGACTTTTAAAGCAAGCAAAATAAAAAATTCTACAAAGAAGTAACACAACATAAGAAAGGTGCAGATATAAGAACACCGAACTTTGTGAGAGACAAAAATGAGCAAATGATTACAGCTGAAAATAAAATAATCGAAAGATGGGCTGAATACTTTGAAACTCTGCTAAATGTCCAGGTAGACGCGGATGGAAATAAAGCAAATTGTGGGTACTAAACGGCCGAGATAGAAGTACTCCCGCCAAGCCTGGAAGAAATTATCACGGCGATAGAAACCCTAAAAAATGACAAATCCCCGGGATTAGACAATACTTATTGATGCAGAACTGATTAAAAAAGGAGGGCGTGAACTTAGAACTAAAATACACCAATTAATGAAAGAAGCCTGGGAACAAGAAATAATGCCAAAAGAATCGAGT